GCATCCAAATCTTCATATAGATCTGCGGATTTCAGGTGAGGTGGCATCTACGTCTTGCAGAGGAGGAGGTTTGCGGCGGTTTGAGCTCATCTTCGTTAGATCGATGAAGCTCATAACTCTCTTCATCGATGGAGATGAACGGAGACGGAAGCCGAAGGGTGTGTCAGTGAGGTAGGTGGCGATTGGATCGAAGCAGATCCACAGATCGACGATGAAGGTATGAGCGATGATAAAAGGGCGAGGCGATGAGGTGTGCGGTGAAGTCCGTGGCCATGGATTACTCTCCAGATCAGATGCTGAAATCTCAAATGGGAGTCGACAGAGACGAAGGTTAATTTTGTAAACTAATTATAAGAATGGTCTTATTTATGGAAAGTGGAGAAAAGTCCCATTTTTGTCTTTACCACTTCCGTAAGTAGCATAAGCGTCATTCTTTCATCTAGCTTCCAATACTTCCGGTTGTGGATAGAAGAAGGTAGGACTTACATCTCCAATGCTAAGCTTATTAAAGTATTTGTCCCACACCGGAAAATTATAAAACAATTAAACACTATATAAGGTTTTGGGCTACTCCTCCTATCAGGTTGACTTTTTAGGATGGAACCCCAAGTCTTAACATGGTATCAAAGCCAATTCCGGTTGTGGTTTGACGGCTTGTTTAACACCCATGATTAAGGGTAGCTTTGTTAAGGGTTTGTTTGGCCCGTTTATACATCCCGATATTGTCCAGCCCGGTTCGGGCTGAGAGGACATATTAAAGCATTTGTCCCACCGGAAAGCAATAAAACAATTAAACACTATATAAGGCTTAACAAAACTTTTGAAAATTAACAAATACTTGACACATGACAAAAAATGTATGGAATGTCAAGCCACCTAAAGTAAACATTGAAACCCACTAAACTGAAAGTGTAAAACCTTCTCCAACGCAAAACCAATGTAATGTCATACTCTAACCGTATATCCTGATATGTCATTTATTTAATACAAATTCAATAAAATAAAGGGAGAAATGGATATATAGCCTTTTAAATTAGCATACATAAAGACAATAGAACTCAATTATATTTTTATAAAACATATAACACTTTTATATGAAATTTGCATATAGCAGACCAATGAACAATGGATATGGACACCGTGATGCTGAAACAAAACATATATTCTAACTTAATACTAAGTAGTTAAGAAAAGACTATTCGTTTTATTTTCGATAATACATATCATTAACTTAAACGTACGTAGTTAAACTTGTATATATACCATTATACCCAATTTATCTAACATAAATTAAAATTAAAGAAGTTGTATGGGCATATTACACTGCTACCGACTTATTAATTCATCTTTTCTTATAAACGAAGTCATTCGTTCTATTCACAAAAATCATTGATAGCATGATAATTTCTTCTAGGTTTAATTAAATATACATAAATTAAAAGGAAAGAAGATACTACGTATATTACATACTCTGCTATTTTCCAATTTGACATCAACTTAACTTTTCTCGATAAATTAATTGATGGTAGATAACTTCTTCCAAGATTATTTATTTTAATTTGCAGAACGGTGAATTACAAAAACATTAAAATCCATTTTTTATGCAAACCGTCCATAGCGGGTTCAGACGCCTTGACCCGCCATATTCTTTGACCCGCCATATTCTTTGAAGAAGGTTTCAGTCGGGAACGGGTGTTGGTGCTCGTTCCTTTGCTTCAGACTGATTTTTGATTTACACGCATTGCTTATTTTTGAGCTTTCTTTATGTTCTCAGTATGTTTTCCTTTCAATTACTGTGGTTCTGTTCTTCCAGACTGTTACACTTGGTGGGGGTGATGAGGTTTTTACTCTGACCACGCTTGGCTCATGTAGACCCATGATAGGATCAGCGAATCACATTGCTTTCTTTAAGGTGATTGATTTTCCAGCTGGTTCGAGGGTCGGTGGTCAGAAGTGCTTACTTTATCATTATTGTCTCTTGCTGAGTTCTTTATTATCAAAATAAGCCTCCCAGTTACAAGTGTTACGTAGTACGAAGATATGATACCTCTTCAAATCACTAACTCAGCCTGTGTAAATGGCTTTCGAGAAACCAAACATTTCAACCCAGCTGGTTGTGAGGTTACCGTATTTAGTGGGAGGTCTCCAGTTTGAAACACGCTAGCATAGAGAAAGTGGGTTCAACATTTTCTTTGACACGTACCTATGACAGGATGAATCAAAGAATGTATTGGAGAAATTTTTTAATATCGCTTTTGTAATTTTGTGATGTTGCATAAATTTATGAATGTCGACAGTTAGCATTAGAGATGATGCGAACACTAATGTTATTGTTCATAATGGCAATAGGTCTTTTTGGGACTCAAATTGGAGTCCCTTTGGACTACTGCATATGTACTACCCGGATACCATCGACCCTAACATCACCATTAGAGAGGCCTATACTGACATCAACCGATATGTTGCGGTGCTCCCCTTTGACATAAGACTGTCCCTTACCAACCTCCCTCCCATTTTTTACACCGAGGAGGACACTGTCTTTTGGAAAAAAGTTCTAATGGGATTTTCACGTTCCGCAGTGCCTATGATGAGATTAGGGAAAAAAATCTCAAAGATAATAATTTAAATGCCATATGGAAAAAGCCAATCCCCAAAAAGGTTTCCTTTTTCCTTTGGCGTATTATGAATAATTTGGTCGTTAATGCCGTTTCTCTAACCAATATGGGTTTCAACGGTCTATTTAAATGTCCTCATTGCAACCACCATGATTATTTGGATCATTACTTTCTTCGTTGTCCCTCTCGTGATGCCATTTGGAACCATTATGATATTCCTAATCACCGGTTGGACGGCAATTTGAAGGACAACATTCTTAAATGGACCAAGCACAAAAATTTTCTTTGTTATTCAACTATCCTTGGAACCTTTGGAAAATGAGAAACGCCACTCTTTATGAAGATATTGCCCCTAATACCTCTGAGGCCATTTATAATATCTATCGAGACTTTAACGAGTTTAAGGTCTCAATCAACGTGAAAAATCCCCTTAGGATCAAACCTCACACCATTACCTGGAAACCTCCTCCGACCAACCATTTTACCTTGAATGTCTCTCACACCTATGTTGGTCACACTCAAAACTTTGGCTTCCTCATTCGTAATAACCATGGGAGATTGGTCACCCATCTTTTTCAAAGCCTCTTCAACACCTCTAAGCACAAAGCTTTCATTGAGGCCTTACACTCTTTTCTTAATTGTTGCAGGCACACTGGGCAGATCGTAAACATCATCGAAATCTCCAATCAATTGGTCTTGCAGTCCATCAATCTAAACTGTGTGCATCATTGGGGATCTACTCTATCACTTGCATTAGGAAGATTTTACATCAAAACCGAATCCTCTTACGTCATATACCGGAATCTGCTAATATTGTGGCGAATGCTATCAGCCTTGGAATTGATGTTGAATCTTCCCGTTTTAAAAACATTCTCAAATTTGATGCCATTGCATATCCCTATGTTGTGCAATCCTGTTTTGCATTGCTTTCGGTAGGTTAGGCTAGGGGTGGACTCGGGTCGGGCCGCCCGGCCCGAAACTGGACTGGCCCGGTACTGTTTGGGCTCGGCCCGGCCCGGTACCCGGTCTTGGGGACGGTTCGGGCCAACCGAAACCGGTCACATCCCGGTGCGGGCTTGGGCCTTGAAAATGTTGAACCGGCCCGGCCAGTTCGGGCCAAATTTGTTTTATTTTTTTGTTTTTTCAATTTTTTTGGTTCCTACCGGGTAGGGTTGGGTGTTTTGGGGGGGTTTGGAGGGTGGGGGTGAATAGGAGGGTCGGGGGTAATTTAGAAAAACAAAAGAAAATAAAAAAAATAACATTGAACCGGAAACCGGCCCGGGTCCACCCCTAGGTTAGGCTCAATGTCCCCCTACTTGTATCCTTATTTCTCCTCTTAATAAAAGGGTATTAATTAAAAAAATGCTCCTAGAAACGAGTAGAAATAGGGGAAAACTGATATTAAGAGGAATAAAATCAGAAAAAGGTAATGATCTGTCAAGTGAGGTGATAAATTTAACTAGAAACAAGTTGATAACAAGTTTTTTTGGAAGAAGGTGACTTATATTAATAAGAATGAACGTAAGCAGGATACAAACTGACAAAGAACCTCATGTCTACCGTCTGCCCTTGAACTAGACTTTGAATCTGCCACCTCAAAAGAAGCAACTAGATTCGTTGATCCTGAATTGAGCATAACTGAGCCAATGATTGGTAAACTAGGCTCCCCATCACCTGTCCTAAGTTCTAGAGTTCTTTTGCCGGAAAAACACGGCACAACCAAAGTAGAGTAAAGATCCAAATAAAAACGAAACATGGAGAAAACTAAAAGAGAAAAATAAATTTCTTGGACCCTTGCACCTTGTCAATCCCTGACGGTGGTTCTGGAGGAGGCCGGACCATCGCTATGATTGCTGATGTACCAAAGCAATTTTTCTTCGATTCGGCCTCCTCTTCATCATCAACATCGCTCACTCTCGTGCCGTCTCCCTGGTTCTGTCCGATTAGATCTGAGGGATCTTGGCTGCTTCCCTGGCTTCTCCCCTGCGCCATCGCTCCCAGCGAAGCCGATTGCTGAAGTCGCTCTCTGCCTCCGTCCATGTTGTCTTCGATCGCCATCCTCCGAGCCGCACGAGACAACGGTGGGAGTCGAAAACCCTTCTTCGCTTCAAGTTGGTCGCCGAATACCTGCTGAATCGATCTGCTCAACACCATCTTCACCCCTCTGCTCCCGTTCGCCTTACTCCAGCCGCACCAGATCACTGACACTCCAAACCTTACGAAGAGGGAAGTCCACATCCCGTATCCTCTATAGATTCTTCAAGCATGTTGATAACAAGTTAAATTGGTAATTAAGTGTTTTTAACCAGTTCACTTGTATAATAAAAAATTATCGCGGCTCGAATCACTAATTAAGAAGTTGGAGATGATAGGAAAACCTATTTGGCAATCTTTTCTATAAAATATAAAATATTGGTAAACAATCATATTTTGAGCTAAGCTGAGTGATTTTGAATTACAACAAACCACACCATTATTTTGGAAAGAACAATAATGATGAAGGTCTGTGAAAAATGCGTTGAGCAAATAGACTATTCTCAAACAAATGTCAAATATGAAATGTGAAATTCGGACAACGAAAGAGCTAGACAGGAAAAAAGGGATTCATATACAATTGGAGTAGAGTCAGGATTACAGTCAGCTTCTGCAGCGTCAATCATCAAGGACACACTAAATGGCAAATTATGGAAGAGAGCTGGAGAAGATAACAACAGCAAACTTCAAAATATGTGTGCTTTGCCGACTTTCAATCTTCTTCACTTCTTCCTTCTGAGTTACCTGGAAAAAGGGCAGACTACAGCTTATACCGACACCAATGCACGCTTTTAAAACATAATAAGCTATCATAATTGCAGCGGAACGGGGTTCTGCAGACAGGAATTTTATGTACAAATGGGTTAAGACAATTACATTGACTGACCACCATAACTCCAGATACAAAAGGATGAGCCATGACACAATTCGAGATAGGGGTCACTCGACTAAGCCATATGACACTTGATTAAACACAGTAATATATTGTATTTAGTCTTTTAGCCATTCTAATTCAATGTCTTATCAACTCATCATTCTCTCTTTAATTTATGATGCTCGACTCCCATATCCCCTCAAGTGGACATTCGATCCATTTAGAGTATAACCAGTTGGGCAGATTCAAAAGTCAAAACTTAAAGCATATCATTCAACAGGACCATAAGACATTTGGATCCAACCACACTAAAAGGGAGGGAGATGATGGCCAACAGGCCAAGTAAAATCTTGGATTACTTCTCTAATGGGTTGACCAACTAAGAGAAACCATTAAACCTTAATAGCTCTTCCAAACAAAAGCATCAAGTACAACTACTCACCCTATCGACAAGCATATTAACAATTTCACAAGTAATTACCCCCTATCAAAAAGTCTAAGAAAAGGTCTACCTTTACCTTTTAAGTTTCAACTATCTACTTCCCTTTTGTCAGTAGCATAAAGGGTTGAAGGACGTCAAATGTAGCACACCAGGAGATAGAATAACATCAATATTAAGATACATAGAATATCATAACAAGATGCAAAAAAAAACTATAAAAATATCATAACAAGATGCAACTTTGAGGGGTGGGATGCCAACTTTGGCGTTATTATATTCCGTTAGTTGATACATATTGGCATTCTTCAACACGGTATGAGAAGGTCTTTTCTAAAGCCTTTTAATAGGGGACAATTATTTGTTGAAGTGTTTAAGTACTAGTTAATGGGTGAGTAAATGTGCCAAATGTTTTTATTGAAGGGAGTTTTATTAGAGTAAAAAGAGAGAGATTATTAGATTTAGTGTGCTTTTTTAATCTTAAGTATGTGAATCAGTGCAAGAGCAACCAAATGCATTGTGTTCTTAAATTCTCAAGGAAGGAGTTGAACCACCGCAAACAAATTAGTAGTTCTATTACATTGAGTTGATCGTGATTTGATCACAAACACAATACACTTCTTAAAATATTTCTTTGAAAACAACTCTTCCTTTTAGACTCAGATATGATGTTTTCAAACAGGAAAATTTTGAATTTTTCATTGAGAACCAATACAATCCACCAAATGGTCCAGGTAAGTGAGTTGACCATTTCCCAGAACATATCAAAGTTAGAGTTGTGCATATATGGACATTGCATGTTTTTATCTTATTTTATTCACACTCTACATCTCTAAGTAATTGTATTATTATTATTTACTTAGTGTACCACACTCTACGATACCAACCAAGGATTTCATTCTTTATTCCTTAAGGTGGTGCAGTATTTATATTCTTTTTATCTCATACACTACACGTTGCAAGGGTAAACGATAGATTACTAAAATCCTTGTAAAAACAGTTGAGGATAGCCGAAAAAACATTTAGAGTAAGCAGTTGAGGAAAAGCCGTAAATCCTCAAATCCTATTCACAAGGATTGTTTGCCAAACGTTGTTTGTGGTGCCTCGTCGTGAATCCAGAGCATAAAGAGCTAGTGGATGCCAAAATCTTGAAAGAAGAATCTTTGGGAACAATGGGAAGTGGGGTAGGATTATTGAATCGGTCCAAAATATGGTATCATTTACTCTTCCCGCTTTTACTTTACTCCACATTGCTTTTTTACTCACTGTTTTTTTTACTTCACACGAGATAGAAAGATTTTTATCGCACCTAATTCAACCCTCTTAAGGTGCACATCAACTTCCACGACACATTAAAAATCCAAATTGCTTTAAGGATGCTTATTTGCTTACCATTCACGTGATTCTTTGTCTAGAAAAGAAGACATCATTCTCCTGCCTTTGATGCTGCACTTGCTGAAGCCGTGAGGACAACTGAAGCAAATTGATGGTGGGGCCACCATCTTCACCACAAATTTGACTCTTCTCATCCACATATTCTGAAACTTGTTGATCAATCCTGTTGGAAAACAACATCTGTTCCAGGCGAGCCTCATCAGAAGAATTAATTCCAGGTGAATTCAAAGTGCTTGACAGCCCACTTGTGGAGGCAGGTGGGCTAGCCCCTAAATGGTTTTTGGACACACGTGCCATGTTGCTGTAAAGAGGCGATGCATTAGTTCCGGGACTAATCAGGTGGTGGTGAGATGTGGAAACCATAGATGAATGGTTGGAAGAAGTCTGTGACTGAGGTGACAGAAGAGAGAGAGCACGGTCGGAACATGACATCCCTGACAGGCTCTGGATGGTTGATGATGTGTTAAAAGTATTGAAAGCTTCACTCCCCCCTGAACAGCTACCAAAGAGATTTTGGGAAGTCAAATTTGGGGCATCCATGTGATGCGGATATGAGTTACTATGTGAAGGGCAGTGTTTGTTTGGATGATTATACGAAGGGAAAAGAGGTATTGGCTGTGATTTCCCATTAGCTAATGGAATAGTTACTAGTTGAGGGCTAAAGTTGATCCCATCCACAGCTTTAGCATTTGTAAACCAGTCCTCATTTGTCTCGTATTTTGGTGGATGGGGAAGGCTGCTGGGAAGTATGTCTTGGCAGACAATAGATGATGTGGCAAAAGCAGTCCCCTGAAAACAGGCACCTGCTAGTAAAATGGAAAGCACAGCAAAAAATGACATGTTAACATTTTAATCATTTACCAAAGAAAAAAGAAATGATGCAATCATTTAAGTGAAAAATGAGAATCCCCTAATTACTAACGTTGAGAACTCCCCTAGTTTAAGTGAAAAATGAGTTGGTAAAACTGAGATTTAGTTTCTGTTTTTAATGTAAAGATTTTTTTATAACTCAAGCCCTTATAATGTTCTAATTAATTAGAGTAAATCCTTAAACCATCCCGAACTGGTCAAATATAAAGATACAAACTCACATGAAATGCTTTACACTACTCATCCAACAGGTTTACCTTTTAGGATGGAACCACCTAATCTTGATAATGAGTCCCCAACATTGCAACAAACTTATGAGTCTATTATCCTTTTTCTCATGAAAGTTGACAATTCTTTCCATACAAATTTCAATATCTTCGACCTTCCTTGTCCTTTCTCTTTTGTCACAAACTAAAACTTTTTAGAGTTAACATGATTTCCTCACCTCACCTTGGAGACAGTGAAATGAGTAAGAAAATGCTGTAGTGGGACTCTGAAGTTCTAAAGTTCGACTGTACCAAGCACCACCCTCCCTTATCATGATAACAATGTAACTTATCCCTTAGCATTTCTGATTTTATCCCATTGTTCAATTCAATTTAAGACAACCACAAAATCTTTGGGACTAAGACTTGGATGAAGTTGTTGTACAATTCAATTTAACTCAAGCGTCCATGGACAGATTTGTCCTAAACATGGTTTTACGTTTCAAACACCAAGGAAGGATGATTTTATACCCGAATACGACTGGAAATGCCTCCCTGCAGTGCCGCCAGGGTTCAGACCAGCACGAGGCTTTCTCCTACGCTCATTATGACCAGCTAAACGTTTGCGGCAACTACGCTTACCATCATCAAATTCAGCCAACAAATGGAACCTGAAAATATCAGAAGCATATGAAACCTAGTTAAGCATATAAGTTCCCTACTGCATGAATTACAAACTAAACTGAGCTGCAAACTAATTTTACAAACATATGAGCAGTAAAGAGTCTAACCACTGTTTGTTGGAGTGGTGGATATATAACCTAAATTGACCCCATAGGTGTACATCACACTTTAATTTATTACATATACATCTGGTAAACATTTATATCGGATACTTAGCAATGCAGTCAAAGGAATTCATACTTGCAATTACTTATAAAGGTGGTTTTTTACCATAGGGTTGGTAAAAGAAAACCAACCTGCTACATTGCTGACAAAACCGTTGTTCAATGCCATTTACAATAACCTTAGAAGTCTTGGTGTGAGCCTCACACACTCTATGCCTCTTGTGGTAGTCCTTGGAGTTGCTGAGATCTTTGTCACAACCAAGAACCTGGCAGAGTGGGCTCTGACAACTCTGCTGCCCTCCACCTCGCATTCTCTTAACGGGAGTACTCAATAGAGCTGAAGACGAAGCAGTGAGGTGGTTCACCTTTTGAGAATTGGTAATATTTGCATCCCTCTTTTGATTACCAATGCCCCCAAGCTGCAAGTCAATCAGTGATGCATCTCCAGACCTGGAAAATGCATCATGGGAAGCTGCTAAAACTGTTCCACCAATATCCCTACTAACGGCGTCATCATTACCCATAGGTTTTGCACTGAAATCTTGAGCACCCACTTCATCCAAGCATTCTTGATCCGAACAGGCTATAGTTCCTTCAATGCTACATGGGGCCTTAAATTCCCAACTCATTGACCCATTCTGACTTCTTCTTCTTCCAACGCCATCAGCTTCAGAAACAGATTTGTCACACGCAAATCCCTTCCCTCCAGAGGTATAGCCCCAAGAATCCATCTTTATTCAACAATAGGGTTCTAAATCACCGACCTATACCCAAGTTCCAATCGAACTAATTCACCCGATATCCAGCTTGAATCGCCAACTTCATAGTTGCCAAATACTCAAATAGCCAAACCTTTATAGAATGTCTGACCCTATGCACACCACAGAGCTTGAAGTTATACCAGAAAAGATGAAAAAAGCTTTAACTTTTTCATTTTTCTTGAAGCCGCAGTAAACAAAGGCTGAATTGACATCGAAAGTTAGAGAGAGAAATAGAGCTCTAAAGAAGACAGGCCAGAATAGTGAGCGAATACTTGAAGAATTGAATTATTGCCAACAATGACTCAACTAAGCAAAGGTAGACAGTTAAAATATGTGCTTCCTTAGTGGAAGCATGGCACTTGTACCATGGAAAAGCACACCATATTCGAGTGAACAGGGAAAAAAGCGGTCCAGTTAAAAATACAAACTAGAAACTGAAAGCTGCCTGCCAAGTAAGTGCGAAAGGGAAGAGAGAAAGAGGGCCGCACTACCAGAACTATAAAAGGTGGGTGATGAAGTTGATTGGAGCTATAGTTTGAGAAACAAATCTGGTGCTGGAATATTGATTGGGTTCCAAGCTCCGTGGAAGAGTCTACGCTTCTTCACACACTCGGAAGCGAAGCACCCCAATTCCACACTTTGTTTAATAGGGTCTATTTCCCGGATATATTGGGATCTTGAGTTTTCAAAAGGGAAGTACTTTCACATCTTATTTCTCACTTATGAATAATTTTAAGGTAGATGCTATGGTAGTATGGTACTCTTAAAGTACTATACTTTTGTCGGACCAATCAAAATGATGCAATTGGATTATTTAAATTTAAATTTAAATCTAAATCGAAAAGGATATAATGATTTGAACCAATCAAATACATGGTAGGTACCATACCCCATTTTTTAAACGAGTACCGACACCTAATTTTAATCATATTTCTTTAACATGAGTACTTTTGTCTTGTTGTGCAATCATCACGTCACACACTCTACATTATTCGTTGGCTCTTCCGCATCATTAAAATTAAGTGTGCTAAAAATGATTTATAGAATTGGGTCTAGAAGGGATTGAATCCACAACTTCATGCCCACCCCGTAGCCTCTCTACCACTCAGTTAACACATTGAATTGTTATAATTATGCCCTTAGAAATATTGGAAGTATAAACATATCAATTTAGGAGCGTACAAGGTTAACTCATACAAGATTTGAAAATACCTTAATTTGGGAAAAACCTTTGGGATCCCTCTTTAATCTATTTGGGAAATAAGATTATAATTACTCCTAATTGGAAAATAAGATTTGAAAGTACCTTAGTTTGGGGAAAAACTTTGGGACCCCTCTTTAATAAGAGAGTTTCTAGATAATTCTAGAGCTTTCTAGAGAAGTATAAATAGAATCACCCAAAAAACTATAGAGAAGTATATAACTCTCTAGAAGCTTATGGAATGGTGTGGAACTCTCTAGAATATTCTAGAGATGTGTAGAATCTTCCAGAACATTATGGAAAAGTATGGAAGAATATAGGATGTAGTGGAGTTCTCTAAAATATGAAAACATGTATATAGCATTTTAGAGAGCTATTCTCCACCATTCATTGTGGAGGTGAAGTAGTATAAATAAGAGTAGGCGCCTGAAGTATTTGTTAAGAGTAGAGCATTCTAGAGAGCTATTCTACACCATTCATTGTGGAGGTGGAGTAGTATAAATAAGAGTAGTATAAATTAGTAAATCCATTTAATAAAATACAAAAAAAGTTGTAAATTTATACGTAGTATTTTTTAAGAATGTTGAACTACCTAATATCTAAACCGAAACAACACCTGTCCCATCCATGAACAACACCCGTCCCATCCATGAACAAGAGACCTCATATAACATCTAAAATCAACGTTAATTCAATTCCAAAAGCAAACATCTTTTACTGGCCTAAAATTGCAGAGTGAACCTAAAAACTAGCAATTATACATCATTTTGTTACATTGATATATTAAAAGAAACAGATTAACTTATTCAGTAGATGTCAAAATATAAGTTCTAAAAAAATGCTTCCCACCAATAATGCACAAGATGTTGAGAATTGAATAACAAATCTAAAATTTGATTTTAGAGAATAAAAGAAAATAAAATACTACGTATATTTCATTGATGAGTCATTCTCTCTTCCATTTTTTTGATGAGTCGTTCTCAACCATCTCCGCTCCTCATTCACTCTCCAATCTTTCATTCTTATTAGTTTGGAGGTTTCAATTCTCTCAAATGTACTTCTTTCGTTCATGACCTCTTGTAGTCTTCCCGTTTTTACTTTCCAGGTTATGGGGGGCAAAGTAAATTTTCCATTGGGGGCAATTCATGGATTAATTACTATATTGTAGTGGACTCCTCAGCATTAGTAGAAGTGTATTGGGGGCAGCTGCCCCACCCCCCTTCCCTCCCATGACTATAGATCCGCCCCTGCATAGAGTGAACCACAATAGAGTGAGTCAAATTTGTAAACACATTCTTAATAGAGTGAGTCAATTTTGTAAACACATTCTTGTGATCCCGCTATCCTTTTGTATAATGTAAGAATCTCCCAATTGGAGAATTATACTCATAGGCTCGCATTGTACCTTAAATCTTAAGTTCCTATCTTAGCTTCACGAAGCGGGAAAGTTCAAGTTTTTTCCAACAATTGTATCAGAGCCAGGTTCATCTGAGCATCACTAGCTCGTGTAGTTCAAGATGGAGGATAACCTCGATCATGATGGTGTTCAAGCTCACTGCCAATAACTACTCATATTGGAAGCTGATGGAGAAGCATTTTCGTCAAAATACTTGCGCATGGCGTTGATAGCATAGAATTATGTTTGTTTATGTGTGTAATTTTAATTAGTTTTATTTGTTGTTGTTTGGGAAATTACACACTTTTGGTGTAATACTTTATTTTTCTTATTTGTTTGTAATTTGTATAGATTAGGATTATTCTGAGCTTTAACTAGGTAAAGATCATCAAAAGGATCCTTTGAAAGGTGAAGGAAAATGCAACGGAACAAGATCAAGTGAAAATTTGGGGAAAAAGTCATTTACCCGATCGGGTAAAGCATATACCCGATCGGGTATTGACTTGATCCGAAGATCAAATCTGATTTGGAGGCAATTTAACGTGCATGGTGAAGATTTGACAAAGATTTGTCTTTTACCCGATCGGGTAAATCAAAAACCCGATCGGGTAAGATGTGACAAATGAAGATTCCGGGTAATTTCTCAGGAAACCCGATCGGGTTTCTCAAAAACCCAGTCGGGTAAATGGCCCTGGCAGCTCCAAACACCTATAAATACACCCCCTTTCCTTCCCATTTGATCACCAAATCCTATACACTTCTAAGCTCAGTTTAGTTAAGTACTTTCTTTATATTTTTATCATGTTTAGTCTCCAAATGAGGAGCTAAACTCTTCCATCTTGGTTTTGCTACTTTGAAGCTTAATGAATTTGTAAGTTGTGAGTTATTCTCTTTAATCTTCTTCCTTGAATATTAATTCTTCTTTTAAATACTATTTCTATATCAATGTTGGGGAGTGTTACTAAGATGACAATTAGTTAACATCTTGACATTAGTTATAGTAATAGTTATTTCTTCCTCTACGTTAATATTGGGGAGTGTTACATACTAAGATGACAATTAGTTAACATCTTGATATTAACTATAGTAGTATTCATTTTCTTTAATATTCTTCCTTGAGTATTAATTAATTCCTATTCATATTTCATATTAATATTTTGAACATTACTTAAAGGATCAACTAGTTTTGTTTCATATATTAATTATTACTAGAATCGATCGACGAATACGCTTGTTAATTGTTCGATCGTTTCACGGTAGTAAACTTGGGTTATTAATGCATGCGTTTCATGGTTAATAAACCAAGGGGAATTAATTATATTGATTAAACCAATAAACCACTTGTGTTGAGGTTATCAATCTCAATCGTTTTCATCTTGATTTTATTGCTACTATCGGGTTAATATACGGCGCGTGTTCTATATTAACTCGGTAGTAAGTTTTATTAATGAACGCGTCTCGTTATTAATAACTACCCTCGATGAACTGGATATACTCCTCGATTGCGTATTCGAGAGGAAGATAGTTAAAGATATAACCGTGATCGACGAACATTTCATTAAGTGGATAAAAGCAAAATCAAGTCCCCATCTCTATTAATTAAACTCATTTAAGTCATTCATCTTAGTGTTAATTAAATTAAATCAAATCAAATCTAAAACCCCCCTTGTTACTAGTTATATAAAAAGAGAAGTATTCCTTTCCCTGTGGATACGAACCTTACTTCGTTATACTACGTATCAGTGTTGTATTGTATTATTACTTTGAGTGCACACCACGACAAAGTGCACGTCAAATTTGGCCCCGTTGCGTTTGAGGAATCCTCAAACTAATGAAATGTTCGTCGATCCCGGTTATATCTTTAACTATCTTCCTCTCGAATACTCAATCGAGGAGTATATCCAGTTCATCGAGGGTAGTTATTAATAACGAGACGCGTTCATTAATAAAACTTACTACCGAGTTAATATAGAACACGCGCCGTATATTAACCCGATAGTAGCAATAAAATCAAGATGAAAACGATTGAGATTGATAACCTCAACACAAGTGGTTTATTGGTTTAATCAATATAATTATTTCCCCTTGGTTTATTAACCATGAAACACATGCATTAATAACCCAAGTTTACTACCGTGAAACGATCGAACAATTAACAAGCGTATTCGTCGATCGATTCTAGTAATAATTAATATATGAAACAAAACTAGTTGATCCTTTAAGTAATGTTCAAGATATTAATATGAAATATGAATAGGAATGAATTAATACTCAATGAAGAATATTAAAGAAGATGAATCCTACTATAGTTAATATCAAGATGTTAACTAATTGTCATCTTAGTATGTAACACTCCCCAATATTAACGTAGAGGAAGAAATAACTATTACTATAACTAATGTCAAGATGTTAACTAATTGTCATCTTAGTAACACTCCCCAACATCGATATAGAAATAGTATTTAAAAGAAGAATTAATATTCAAGGAAGAAGATTAAAGAGAATAACTCACAACTTACAAATTCATTAAGCTTCAAAGTAGCAAAACCAAGATGGAAGATTTTAGTTCCTCATTTGGAGACTAAACATGATAAAAATATAAAGAAAGTACTTAACTAAACTGAGCTTAGAAGTGTATATGAATTGGTGATCAAATGGGAAGGAAAGGGGGTGTATTTATAGGTGTTTGGAGCTGCCAGGGCCATTTACCTGACCGGGTTTTTGAGAAACCCGATCGGGTTTCCTGAGAAATTGCCCGGAATCTTCATTTGTCACATCTTACCCGATCGGGTTTTTTATTTACCCGATCGGGTAAAAGACAAATCTTTGCCAAATCTTCACCATGCACGTTAAATTGCCTCCAAATCAAATTTGATCTTCAGATCAAGTCAATACCCGATCGGGTATATGCTTTACCCGATCTGGTAAATGACTTTTTCCCCAAATTTTCACTTGATCTTGTTCCCTTGCACTTTCCTTCACCTTTCAAAGGATCCTTTTGATGATCTTTACCTAGTTAAAGCTCAGAATAATCCTAATCTATACAAATTACAAACA